AAAAAAAAAATCCAACCCGAAACCCAAACGCACGCTCGTTATCTTTACCGGCTGTTCGGACGGAGCCTCGTGGAAGCGCGTTTATTAACGAACACGAAACGTAGCTTTGAGAGCACAGACACGACATTGATTTCTGCTCGCAAATCCTCAGCGAACTCAAACCCCAACAAGTCCCCAGGGGTTCACGTCCTGGGCAAACTCCAGCTCCCAGGACAAAAAAAGCATTGAAACGTGTAAATTCCTTTTTCACATCAGCTGCATTCTTGGTCCAGATTCTGCCTGGACCCTCAAATATGTAATGCTATATTTAACCCATTAACAGGCACCATTATTTCACTCTGACGGTTTGTATGACTGTGTGCACACACAGGCGTTTATGGTTAGCAGCTGTGGAACAATTTTTGAAGTCATGGTAAGTTTTATTATTTACATTTTCTGGAGTACATGAAAAACCCTGTATGCAAAGAACAAAACTGAGAAGGTGCTGATCAGTTTAAGAACCAAACTTCAGAGCATTAAAACGTGTTGTTATATTAACTTTTCTGTTTACATAAGATTTTGGTTTAAAATGTGGTGGCGCGCACGTGAATGTAACTTGCTCCCTAAGTGCAATTAGTATCTTTGAATTTACTTTGGAAGAAGTTTTGTACCACCTCCAGCCACGCGCCAGTCCCCATCAAGGAGAGCCTTGTGCGAACCCCAGCTGCCGAGGCAGAGGTGTGCTGGGGAGACAGACCCCCCCCCCCCAGGAATAATTCAGATAATCAGAAAGAACGTACAAGGTTTTACACCAAAAAGGTGTAAAGGGAGAGGGACCCAAATAGGTTGGGGGGTGGGGGGGGGCTACAGCACATTCAGCTCTGTCCAGGTGGGTGCATTTCCAGAGTACAGGACAAAGTTTCCTTTTTTTTTTTTCTCCTCAATTGCTCCCATCATCTAAATGCGGGTTTGCAAAACCTGTCACATTCATAGTTGTCTTTACCTGGTGATCGACTTGGAAGCTTAAAGACATGGGGAAAGCTTAGAGGTATTATTCCAAGCTGCCTTCAAACTCAGAAAGCTACACTTGACTTGCAAATGTTTAGGAAGCGACTGTAAAAATTAAATGTAGGGTCATTCATAAAAAAAATTAAGGCAATTATTATTTTTATTTTAAATCTTTGAATTCTCCCGTAACTGTCAGGGATAACAAAGTCTCAGCTCCAGCTCAGGCGCTAGCAGGGGGCACCATGTACTTTGGTCTGGTTTTATGGACTGCTTTCAACAGGAATCCTAGACAGCGGAGAGAATATGGGACTGAATCTGTATAACTGAGGAACCATAAATCTTTGGCACCTTAGACTTTCCTAAGCAAAGGTGAGACAAGAAGAAATTTGTCTCTAGCTGTCAGTGTAAATTTTTCATTAAAATGCTGTAAGGCTTTTTTAAGACCAAAAGTAAACTGCTTGTGCAGCACTTTTAGCAGAGCTGCACAAGAGAATCGCAAAACCCCTCCACAGATTGTGGTCCTCCAGCAAATAGAAACCACACTGCAGCTTTCCTCACTGAAAATAGGATAAGACCAAATACGCTGACAAGGAAAATACGAGTCTATACAACTTCACATCCAATTTAAACAAAGTTCACATCCATTACAAGCTAGGAAGCATGTTCATAGTCAAGAGGAACCTGTTTTCCTGCGCCTCAGCAGAACACCCTAAGAGATAAACAGGGGTTAGCCTCCTTCGGAGTACGATGTTCACTCCTGCTCTCCTTTGGGAATCATGCCAGCGTAAGAAGCGATTCCTAAAATATGACCTAGAAGGAGGTTTTTATGTCGGAATGAGCCTGGATGTGGACTCACCCCACACTGTTTTTGAAGTCAAACTGCAAGTACTCCCTGGAGGAGGGACCTCAGGAGGTCTCTAGTCCTACCCGCTCCTCAGAGCAAGGCCAGCTGTGGGGTCACAGCTGGTTGCTCAGGGCTTGATCCAGTCAGGCCTGGAAAACTCCCAAGGATGGAGAACGCACGAGCTCTCCGGGCAACCTGCCCCGATGGTGAAGCGTTGTTGCGGTGTTGGTTGCTGGAGGGTTACGAAATGCCTACAGAAATAAGAGTCAGGAGCTGAGTAGGGATATGACAAGTCAGATTGACCCATCGCCTGCTGTAGGAGGAAGGTAATAAGCAATTACTGACATGCGCTACTGCTCTTTTATCGATTCCAGGTGTACAATGTTCACTATACTATGAGCATTAATGGAAAAGTACAAGATGGATCAATGGAAATAGATGCTGGAAACAACTTAGAGACATTCAAAACGGGAAGCGGGAGTGAAGAAGCTGTTGAAGTTCATGATTTTCAGATTGTAAGTACCACCACCCTTATCCTTCACACAACACGCTCCAGCGCTGGACTCTTAAGGATACCCTGCCCTGCCCGACTTCTCTGTCCCAGTCGGTCTCAGGTTCCAGCCCCCAACTATCCACACAAACATCCTTGCTCTCCCGGTTTGCTTTCACAGCAAGCCAGGCCGTTTCCTCCAAAACAAAGTCTAAGTGCCTTTAGGGGATAGGCCGTGCCAGGTCCCATTCTGGGAAGCAGTACGGATTAGGCTGCATCGGGTTTGGCTCCATGAAACACTCTGCATTTTCAAACCACTGAACAGATCTACGACACGTGCCCTTGGAGTCTTGCTAGAAAAACCTTCTGGCAGGCTGTGACACAGCCCTTGTGTGATTTCATACAATTTGAACTGGAAAAAATACCTCCCCCTCCCCAAAATATCACCCTTTTAGGAGCATTGGGTTAACATGATAAGCCAAGTAGACACCAAAGAGAGACCACTATACAGTGCTGGACCCGGGCAGCTCGCTCTGCTCTGACATCCAAGGATGGGAGCTGCTCTCCATGGCTTGGCTTCATCTCCAGAGGAGAGGATGGAGGCATTTAGCATAGCTTATGCATCTGTGCACCAAACGCACAGTGCTGGGCCGCTGGTGCTGACAGCAAACACGTTTGGGTACTCCAGCGACTTGGCTGCGGCGGCTCTGCACAAAGTCTGGACTAACAGATGCCGACTCTTAGCAGAGCTCAACAGCTCAGATAAAGTGGTTCACTGAGCTGTACCACCTCTGAGCTACTAAAGGCACATCTATGTGATGTTGCAGAAAGCTATTTACAGGGCCCAGATCCTGCAATTAACATTCTCAGGTGCGAAACACCCTACTTCAGAGTTAAGTCCTCTGTAAGTCAAATCAGCACCTAAAACAAAGATGCTGCTGCTAGAAAGACTTACCCAGGGCTTCTGGAGCAGCCACCTTCCCTTTGCTGCATCTAGAAAGGTGAGGAAATTCAGCTCCTTGGCTTCTCAGCAAGTACAAACCAATCCACTCCAGGAGATCCAGGACCCAACAGCTGCAGATCAGCCTTTATGAAACTCTCATTAACATCACCATAGCAACATTATTAGCAGCTGAATAAGAGCTGCCACAACGAGCTCTTCCCATTTTTCCTTCACCCTTCCACATCTGCACAAAAGCACCAGCCCACTGGAGAGATGCTGAATTCATATTGCCTCCACATGTGCTGCTGGTAAGCTACTGCCTGTCATAACCAGGTCAGAAATCAAGCTCCCAACACCAACCAGCTAACGGGACCTTCCAGGGACAGTGCCTGCTTTTAATTACAGCGGGCCAGGGACAGGCTCAGCGAGAGCAAAGGGATGCTGCCAGTTGGGGTTTGAGCCAAGAATGCACATAAAGGAGAAAGAAGTCGAAAAGATGTGCTTCCAACAGCCAAGTATCTACATTAGCAGCTTTGGGATTGACTGGCGCCACTCAAATGATTGCACCGTCAGTGAAAACTTGGATTTGGCAATATTATGATACTTACTCCTAGCACGCTCGGTGCACCACGAAGTCTCATTCCCTTGCGCACCCATCCCTGCATAGCCATCCCCTCTCTCACTGCTTTAGAATGAGTCATTTGGTTTCGATGGGTGTCTGTCCAACTGTGCAGGACTTGCGGGCACACAGGCCAAGACTCAGGTGCCTCAGTAGCGTCCATCTCAAGCTGCACTAGATGCCCAAGGCATCCACGATGCCCGTACGAGGCAGGTGAGAGGGGTCACGACGACACCCGTGTCCCTGTCCTGGCAGCGAGCGGCCGGGCAGAAAACCAGCACACCTCGGACAGTGCTAGATAATTATATTTAGGTGGCTGAATGGAGCTTGCGCAACCCTATGAAAAAAGTTTTGCCATCTAAAACGAGGTATCAAAACTCATAACGTAAAAGAGAGCTCTTTTATGGGTACCCAAAAACCTACAGCAGAAACGCAGAAACTACAGCCAAGGTTCCCGTGCCAAAACGTTGATGCCCAAGATGCTGGCGCAGGGCTGGCAGATACGACCCAGGACCTGCAGAAGACCTGCAGCCCTCTGGAGCTGCTGGGATACTCTTCTCTTGCTTAAAACTAGACATCCATGGTTTAGGCAACTGCATTTCACCCTCATAGGCCAGATGGAGTCCCACACACAGATTTCTGCACCAAATTCCCCATCACGAGCTTCTCCTTGCTGTCACAGCCACTTATGTGTATAAATTGGACCAAGCTGCCCCCATATTTTTGTAAACCTGTGTCGTAAGGGTACCGCACCACCAGCTAGCACAATCTTGAGGCTGCCTACGTTAGGTGCTAAGTTACAGTTCAAATCGTGTCAACTAGTTCCTTAACAGAGCTACTCCAAGTAGCCTACAGCGGGCATGGAAGCACTTATATAAAACACCCCCATCTCTCAGAAATCGAGCGAAAACTTCTAGACCCACTTGACCAAAATTGTAAAGCTAAAATGATGAGGGAAGAGTGTTTTATTGCATCTAGTTTTAAGATTTAACCTTCAGACTAAAGATTCAGTGGCAATTTTAGCAGAGCTCGAGCCCTTTCTTGGGGGCGGTGGGGAGCCGGAGGGCTGCGCACAACCCCCTGCCTTCTGCTTTTGCAGGGCATAACTGGAATCCGTTTTGCTGAAGGAGAAAAGTGTTACATCAAAGCTCAGCCAAAAGCTCACGTCCCTGAAGTTGATGCTATGACTAAAGCGAGCCTCTCATCTGAGCTGGTAAGGGGTAATTTATTTACTTTTTAAAAACAAATCTTCGTATAGAGAGGGTCTTAAAGCAGTATTTAAATATAAATATAAATGACATTTGAAAGCCACTGTGGATAGTGGTAGGGTTGCTGACTGATTGCAAGGGGTCCCTGAAAGGTAAGAAAAGCAAGACTGGCGTCAGAGGCATCGCTGTGTCCAGGGGCATCGCGAGAGGCTGCACATGAGTGAGGGGGGAAGCCATGGACCAATTTCTAGCAGATCCATAGACCTCAGTGACAAGAGCAGCTGCCTGAAATCAGGCTGTGCACAAGGCTGGAAGGGAGAGCAGGGAAGAAGCAGCTCCTTTAGTCAATGCAAAGAGGGGTCGCGGTAGATGCCAGGAGATTTCTATCAACACTCTTGAGCAGAAGCAGGGACTCTGTCACTCAAATCCTCTTAAATAGTCAATAAAGTGGAACTGTGGAAAACATTACTGCAAAAATTGAGCTAATGCTGAAGCAATAACAGTTAAAAAAAAAAATCAAGAGTTTGTCTTCTTAGACAGCATCAGCCTTCATTTTAGGATATCGTGTTAACTAAATTTCATGGAATCTGCATCGCAACCACCACTAAAGCTGCAGTTCTCGCCCAGATACCACCAAAACCTCTCCTTACCTCACATTTGTGAAAAAGTCTATCGCTTTGTGTGCGCAAATCCTGAGTTTCCTAGAGCTCAGAACCCCAAACCCATGGCTCACGCAGGAGTGGCTCCAGTGCCTTGAGTACAGCTGAGCCCGGACACTGGCAGGGGCTCAGCCCCCAGCAGGAGAGCCACAACCCCTTTCCCTGGGTTTGCTCCACTCCCAAAAAATTAAAAGCAGATACAATTAGCTGGGAGAGAGGCACTGTTAAGGCTGCACGTACCTGCAATGGTGCTGTGATTACTGAACATCTTACTTCAAACTTAAGGGGAAAAAGGTCTCTCTAAATCCAATCAGCAAGGCACCAGCAACGTGGCAAAGCCCCCTGAAGTTGGTGGGATTTTCCCCATGATGCGGAAGAGATCTTGCCCAGATTCCAGGCAGAGACCTGCATCTTTCCCACCTTGCCTTATTTTAAAGGCAGGCTGGGCTTCTTGACTTCATTAGCACTATTGCCTGAAGTCAAGGTTTCCATTTTCCGACTTTTTGTAAGAACAAAGTCACAGTCCTCACAACATTACCCTAAAATAGTTAAAAAGGAAATTTCTAATCTTCTACCTGGCTGGAGCAGACCTATTCCCTTGTCCTGTTTTCTGTGCATCTTCTCCAAAGATGCATCACCTACACGACCACTGCAATAAATTGTATGCACCGCGGCCAAAACAAGCAGCCGACTTGGTGCTACCATTGGGATATTAACCTTTCCCTGTTGCTCGACTTTCCACGTTAGATGTATGACGGGAATGGCAAAGTAGTATTTATTTTTCTAGAGCAAGTCCTCTCTCTGAAACACACATATTTAGGAGAAAGTATGCATATGCCGTTTTCTTACAACACATATCATAACCAACACTGCCTATAAAAATGGTTGATTAAAATAAGCTTTTAGATACCCAAACTGTGCCTGCTCACAAGTCAGGATCATCTCAAACAGAAACAAAGGATATTTTTATTTCTGAAAACTAGATTCAGATATTTCTGATGCTGATAAAAGCTTAAGTGGGAGAATATAAATAAAGAGCACTTCTCACTAGACAGATTGGATAGCGAACTTAAATGACTTGAGACCTACAAAAGAAATCAATAAACACACTAAAGGAACAACAACTCCACAGAATAAATTGATCTAGTCAGTTATATAACAAGTTTTGATGACTTTTATGGAAGCAATTTAGAATTTTAACTTTGAAATCATACTGGTTTTCATGATTCAAAAGTTGGGTTTCTTTTAATATTTCACTGTTGCTATAAAATACTTACACATTTTATGTAAAATAATACTTTGAACTAACAACTTTAAAGAATCAATCACTGGCATTTTCCTACATTACTTTGAAGATATGAACCAAAAACCTGCAGGGTACACTTCAAAAAGGCAGGCTCCTTTAACTCGCACTTCAAACTTTTGGTCAATTGAATTGCTTTTACCAAACAAGACCTTTAATCAGACCGATCATGTTGACTTAAAATGGGAAGCTGGAGCAGTTCTCAAGCTATAATCCTCTCTAAAACTTTTGAACAAGGTCCCCCCCGCCCCACCTCATTGTAAGCATAGTTATATCTTGGAGTACATCAAATGAGAACAGGGCATGATAAAAGATTAGGGTCTTGGTTTTAGCTGCCGTATTTCATTGGTGCTTTGCTGAAGGTGGTAAATCTTCAAAGTTTCTACCACTTGAAAAATCTGGCGCTTTGGGCTGAAAGATCTCTGACACCTAGTCGTTGTACATGGGGCAAAAGCCTTCCAAGACAGACAGATGAAATCTTAGCCCTAGCAAAGCTGATGGTAGTTTTGCCATTCATTTCAGTGGTGGCAACCTTTACTCAGGTTTTGGCTCGGTACAATCCGTTCACATTCATGAAATACAAGGATGGTCGGTATTAGCTGCAGCGGATGATTATACAGTTTGATGCTCAAGAATTAACAGCAAGCAGGCACATGCCTGTTCACTGAGCAGCAAAGGATTTATGCTCTTCTATTTGCAGGAAGATGAAATCATGCCCGTGAGATTTGACGAAAACTCCCTTATCTGGGTGGCTGCAGACGAGCCTATCAAGCATAACAGCTTCCTAAGCCCCAAAATTTTAGAGCTTTGTGGGGATCTTCCAATTTTCTGGCTGCGACCAACATATCCCAAAGGTAACACTTCTTTTATTTGAAAAGTATGCTATCCCTCCCTTCATCTAAACACCTTCCCCAACTCAGGTTTGCCACCGAGACTTGCACACCTGGGAAACCAGGATCCTTTATCCTTTCCTCCCTTGCCCAGCCTGTCTTTCAAGCCCTTGGGGGTTGGTGCCGAGACAGGTTTGGAGTTTATCCACACTTACCAGACATTTTCCATACTTGTATTTCCTCAGACAATTTATATAGCCCACGTGGGTGACTTACTATGAGATGAAACATTCCCAGAGGTCAGCTTCCTTCTACAGAAGGACAAGACACAACAGCTTAAACTAGCCCCCAAAATGTTCAGGCAGCTGACACCAGGTAGCAGGAACATTACGCTTGGCCGGGAGTTGGGGAGTATCAAGCTCCTGATCTGGAACTATAGCCTCTCCTGTTTCCTACCCTGCTTCTCCCAAGGATTTCAGTGGAGTGGAAGGACGAGAAGCTTTAGCTAGACAACTGGTGGATGAAGTTTATGAGGTCCTGGGGGCAGTCCCAGGACTGAAGTACTCCCATCAGCCAGAGCCAAGCTTAGCAAAGGTGTTCAGGAGTCACCAGGGAGATGGCACCTTCTCCAGGTGACTTCCAGGCCTGGGAGGAGAGAAGGCTTGAAAAGATTTACTTCTCCTTGGTCCAGTTAATACTAGAACACTCAGAAAGGGAAATGGAAGGAAAAAAAAAAACCAAAAACAAACAAAAAACCCAACCCAAAAACCCCCAAAACGACACCACATTTTTAGATCACCTGTGGATGCAAACTGGCAATATTTTCCACTTTTCTCATGACCTTGCATATCCCACTGGGCAACAAAAGAGCAGTATCAAAGCTGTCCAGAAGCTGTTTCCACCAGGTTCACTAGCTGCCCTCGGGAGCAGGGCACCAGTCTGTCACAAAAGCACTTTAAAAAAAAAAAAAAAAAAAAGATGCCTATGACTGGTCTTGCTAGTGCTGGCAACTGCTGCTGAGTCAACATCAGTGACCACAGGGTGGGTCAAAAAAACCCCAACAGATCTCACACCCATTTTGCCTCAAGGGGAGGAAAAGGCAATCTCACACCCCTTTGGACTGACACTGGCTGGAGATACAACACAGGAAGGCGAGCAGCTCCCATGGGGATGCTCAGCAAGTTTGCCACCACATGGTTTCATCTGTCCCTCTGCGCTCCCCTCTTTTTTTTTTTTTTTAATATTTAAAGAAATCACTGAAGCCTTAGATAATGTGTGGATAAATGTAAGGACATGCTAAAGGTAAGATTATCCTCTTATGATTACTTCTTCAGATAACCAAAGGAGAGAAATGAAGAGAAACAAACGCCAGTCGGAATCAAACTTTGATACAGAAGACTTGGAAGCTGCTACTGAAAAAGTAAACACCAGGTTGCCCACCATGCAGCTGACTCAAGAGCTTGATCACCAGTCTAATGAAACCAGGCCAATGGGACAAGAAACCGATCAAACACTTAATCCAGACAACCCATATAATGTAAGTATTTGCACTGTAATCTTCTTTCAGAGCCCAAGACTGTTGTAGACAGGCAACACTGGTGATGTGGGGTTTGTCTTTTTCTTTTTCTTTTTTAAATCTGCGCAGTCTTTGCCTGTTCAGCTTTTCTCTGAAATTACAGACTTGTAAAACACCCAAGAAGCTCAAACAAGTCTTCCCTCAGTCCTCTTTTCCCTCCCTCATCCCACTTTTCATTTGACTTCAGTCTGAAACAAGCACAAGTGCTTGAGGTGGCAAGATTAAGGCAAGTTGATGCCAAGTTGCTTTTCAGGGTTTCCAGGTCGATGCGGAAGCAAGCAGCACTAGACAGTTCTGACAAAGATAGCACCTTCTGAAAACAATCCAAAGCTGGTCTTGATCAGACAGCTGAACGCCATCATTTACCGACAACGTAAGGAGTGAGTCCAGTAGCTAGAAACATACTTTTCCCTCAAACAGGAATTAGTATCAGAAGTGACTATTACAGAGGAAAGCAGTAGCAGTGTCTGGTTGCAAAGAGATGAGGGTTAGGCCAAATAAACTTATTTTCTCAGCCTCTTCTCTATCAGGGTAAATGGCCCTAGTCTAGCAAGCAATTCACAGAGGAGAACCTGATTAGGGACAGCAACAGTGGGTGGAGGATGACTATTGCAAAACGTGTTCTCGCTCTTGGAGACGAAGCAGCCCTCGGAAAGAGCACAGGAGCTGCCCCGCTGTGTCCCAGCACCTTTGCCGCGCTGCAGGAAAACTGACTGTACAGTAGGCACCTTCCAGTCTACTGCACCAGCGCCAGACAATTTACACCCACCATTTGGTGCAGCAGGAGTAAGTCATTTTAATACAACACTGTCACAAGATAAATGCCTCCTGCTTTGGAAATAAGTCCCAGCTTTGACTTGACATTTATGCAACAGCAGGAGATCATTATACTGTGACAGCATTCTGCCGAGTTGACATCCCTTAATTAAACTTAATCACTCCAAATAAAGTGGATCTAAATCGACTCTCTCACGAGGTCAGTGAAACGGCAGCGGCACTGGAACGTAACTTCTCCTCGCAGCTACTAACGTGACCGTGTCCATGGGGTGTGAGCTGCCCTGTCTCTGGAGGGCAGCGGCAGAACAACTGCCACGGGTCCCTTCTTCCAGCCGGAGGGTCCCTGGGCCAAACGGAGAACATCCATCAGATACGGTCACCAGACTTCCCTCAGCCTGCAGGGCGGGATTCACCTTCGCCAACAGTTAGCGCGTCGATGCCTAGATCCAAGCTTTCTTTACAGACTGATTCATTCTGTTCAAGAGGACCATTAATTACACTGTAGGTCTTTCCTGTATGATTAAATGAATCCTCCCTAGAGCTATTTCTCTTCACCCACTATGAGTGGAGTCTGGACAAAGAACTCAGGTGTAGGAGTTCACACTGCAAGTATCCGAATTCAAGGATGATGAATCCTGCCCAAGGGATCGACACCCTCCCTGCTCTCAGGGCTGGCAATGGGTCGCTGGGGGCCTGAACGACACCAGGCTGTCACTAGCATCCCGTACAAGCCCAGACAAGAGATGGCACCTTTCTGTGCCTCACCTTTTTGGTGTGCTGCTAGTTATCTGAATGAAAAACACTCAGGTAAAAAGCTAAGTGTTACTCCTGCATTTGCTCTTTGCTGCTGGTTTTCCTGAAATAACACCAATGGGAAAAGAACAACTGAGTTTCAAAAAGCAGAATATCCACGTTACTTTTTTTCCCCAGAAAGGAGGAAAAGAATTTTCAAGGGTGAAGGCAGTAGCGAGAGCCTGCTTTTACATATTTTATGCATGCCTTGCTCCATGTAACTCCTTACTGTCAAATACAGAACAGGCAGAATTCTCACTGTCCACAATGCACCTAAGTGTGGCAGAAGGGGGAAAAAAACCACAAAAACAACCAGACTGAAAGACAAGGGAGAAATATTCAGAAAACTGTAGGGTAACAGCTTACTAAACAGTTTCCTGGGAATGCTGTAAAAAGCATTAAAATACAAAAAATAAACCAAAACATTAAAAATACAGCATACACTTCAGCCATTGTCATCTACATAAAAGACGGAGATAACTGTCTTGAAATCTTTTCCATCACTAGTATTTAAAACTTGGGAGTTTACTGCTGCTGAATCTTTTGCAAGGACTGCAGAAGAAAAATAATGAAGTTTAGAGCTGTCTGTTGTTTCTTTCCATTTTACATGGGTGACTGCACCAATTCTACACTTCTACCAAACAGAGCAAGACAAAAGAAAAAAAATAAAGCAAGACACATGGGTGAGTTAGTGAGAGTTCTGCTTCAAAGGGACCAAGATTTCAGTTTTTACCCTTTGTAGGGTTAACAGGAGCATTGGTATATTCTACATTCTCTGAGAATGCGAGCAGCGGGATGACATTTAATATTTTACATTTCAGCAACTGGAAGGTGAAGGGATGGCTTTTGACCCCATGCTGGATCACTTAGGCGTGTGCTGCATTGAATGCAGACGAAGTTACACACAGTGCCAGAGAATCTGTGAGCCTCTCCTGGGCTACTACCCGTGGCCTTACAACTACCAAGGCTGTCGTACTGCCTGCCGTATCATCATGCCCTGCAGCTGGTGGGTTGCTCGTATCATGGGTGTTGTGTGAGAAAAAGCAATCAGAGCCTTGACAAAATAAGCAGGAATGCAATGACGACAAACTGGTAAAAGGCTACAACCAAAGCAGCAGTACCAATCCTGGCTTTTAAAATCCAAGTGTGTGTTACTGCACCAAAAGCAGGGTCAGATATTCTAACTGTAAATAAAAATCTTAAGTTAATATTCTATTAGCTTTACAAATGACAAGGGTATACTAGCACTTAGTGAATTAAAAAACAAAGACATTCCCAAAAAAGACACTATTAAACTTTGCTCACAAACTGGTTTAGCAGTCCAGAAGCTTGCTCATCAATCCAAAATCGGCCTTTCGTAACAAAACCCTCTCTTTCCAAGCTACATGTGAAAATTTACGTCCAATTAGGCAACTAGCTCAACTTGTACGCTTGGGAGTACCTTTCATCCACGTAGCTTACTTAAATAAATCACAAGTTAAGTTGCTCCCCGTTGCTATTCATACCAAGTTGCCAGGTCATTATGAATGGTTATAAACCAATTACAGCATACCTTTCCCACAAAGCTGCTCCAGGGGACACGGGAAAGCGCATATTGTGCTAAGTCGGAAACAAACGGCAGGGAAAGGGGCTGCGGAAGGGAATGTGCATGGCTGCAGAATCAAAACCCTTTGCATATCCCAACATCAAAGAAGCCCCAGCATCAAGAATCTTGTATCCATGATACCACTCTAGTGTCTAACAAGTATCTGCTATCCAGCTACTATAGCAAAAGTATTTACACGCAGTTGCAGACCAAAGAATCTCAAGACCCTTCAGAATCTACAACAGCCACTGTATTTATAAATCCTTGAACTAGACACTTTTGACACAAGATTACAACCCCTCTTTATTCCACATGGATAGCAGCCATTCATGCTAGCTCTTTTAGCTCCGCTGAAGCTAACCTCCATTCCCCACAAGAGAAACTGCTTACCAGTAAGGAGAAAAAAGAAAGAAAGAAAAAAAAAAAAGGTTTCTAACCTCACCCTTTTTGCTTAGGCAAACTCTGCAATTATTGGGATTGAGCCTATTACATATTAAATCTCTAAGGAAGGTACTAAGCTGAAACACTCACCAAGATGGAATGACTTAGGATTTCTAGCCTTGAAAAAACAAAGATAGAGGTATTACACTGCCTTCATCCATACCCTACCATTGAGTTTATGGAGCTGTCTACATGGGCTTTATAAACAGAATGGTCCAATTTTTCTTAAAGTTCACTTTCTGGAGCATTCATTTTTGTGACTAAACAGCTCTTGAGATGTTGCAAGCCTAGTAATGTTATTAACACTGCGTGACACACAGAAAAGAGGAATTAATTTGACATAATCGTGGCTTAAAGAAAATAAAGACAACCTCATGCGGAATGCTAAACTGCATATCTAAAAAGCAAAGTGTTAAATGAGAATAAGATGAGAATAGAATTCAGTATTTTGTTCTATTGTAGCTTTTTTTAATATAAGCTTCACCTTCCCTTAATCTCAAGACAACTTGCTTTGAAATATTTAAATTAAAAACTTCTTAAAGTGGGATTTCAAGGCCTGTTAAATTTGAGTTTCTGCTTTTTCAAATGAAAATGACCTTGATCATTATGTTGTTTTAGAAGTACGTCATTCATATGCTTAGAAAAGTCAGTTTCCTTTTTTTTTTACTGCAGATTAAACAAATACATTATAAAACGGCAATCGCTTTCTGTCCTTTTTTGCAATGTAGAAAGTATAATGGTACCTTTACGTACGTGTTCAAGAACTGTCTTGAGAGGAAAACAAGAGGATCAGCAAGTGAAACACTGAAGACAAAGAGAAGGAAATGTGACAGTATATATGAACTAGACTGTTGCTGCCTTTTGCATCTAAGGCTGTCTCGAGGCAACTTGTGACCTGCTTCTCCCTGTCACCCCCAGTAAAAAACAACACCAACCAGTCTCCTTCTGAAGACAGAAAAAACTGTCTTGTAGGCGATTTCCAGGCCTACACATTCTTAACAAAATTAACTCTTCCTAAACAAAAGGCCTGTATTAGTTGTTTTCTATAGGCAGTCACAAAGTCTGCGAGAAGTAAAAAAGCATCCTACTCATGGATGCATTGAACTGTCACATATAGCATGTACGCTTTGAGAACCCTTCTGTATGCACCACGCCAAGAAGGCCCCAGTGATCATAAGAGAAACAGATATACTACTTACACTGTGAGGAGCGCAGTTGTCGGAACTACAATATTGCCTAATTACAAGACAGAGGGCACAATTTATCCATTTCCAAAAGATATGCAACAAAATGTCTTCCCCAACTCATGCTTCAAATAAGCAAATTCATATTTACCTAAATATCATATTCAAAGGAAAAAAAAAGTAAAGATCTCTTGCTGCTGCAAGGTTGAAAAATCTTATTTAAGCGCAACATCTAATTTTGAAGGAAACGTTCTGAGGAGACATAGCAGTGACTATAAAACCAATGATCCAATGGTATGAAAAGACATAGCAATATTCCCCGCAGTGGTGGCTCAGACTACAGTTCCAACTCTCCGCAGTGATCCTATTCACTACTGTACAGCATTTACTACCAGTGTTGAAGACAAGTTTTCCACTGCCACCACAAATATACCTTGCACACTGGAAAGGCTACATGTCTGCATTTGGGGGGGGAGAGGGGGGGGCAGGGGGGATCTTCCTCGAGTCTGACCCTGCACTAGCAGAAACCAGTTCAAAACCTTCCTTTGGCCAAAGCTTAGGGGAGGAGGAAAGAAAGAGGGATGGGATTGTCACCAATGGTGTTTCCCACTGCAGGTGGGTGGATGTTAGTCAGAGCACTGTAATTCTACTCTCCTTAAAACTTAATTACCCATGTGATTATGTACTAGGAGGATTAGGACGGCAGGGAAGGTTAGAGTGGAAAAAGGGGGATAAATTCAGGCTGGTGGAAAAGAGAAGGAAAACAGGCGACAAAGCCACAGGGTTAAAAGGACTGAAAGCCAGTGATGGGAAGGCAGGAGTCAGCTCTTTTTTTCCTGCACCTACAGCCTCCCCCTTCTCCCCACTTACAAGGAATGAACCCAATTCTCTCCTTTTGTCCTTTTCGATATGGGAATCATCCTCCACTCCTATCTACACGGAGAAAGTAAGAAGCAGCTGGGAGACATGGAAGGGGGGGGGGGAATCTGTCTTCTGCCTCCCATGTAACACTTCACCCCTGCTGCAGCAAGAATACATTCCAATAATGTTTCAGTGAAGAACAGACTAATAATTTGTTCCATACAGTGGGAAAAAAAAAGAAAGTAGAGAAACGTAAAACTACCATTGGCAAAGAACAAAAGAACAGATTGTTGATTGGCACATCGGGGTGGACAGAACCTCTGCTCAGAAAGAGCAAGAGTTAGACTGAACCAGGAGCACCACCATCTTCTGCTTCTGAGAGGCTCAACTGATCTTTTATGAACACTGCACACATACCAAAGATGAGAGAGGCAGCCTTAAGCTACAACAGACAGGCGTTTTCTATGACCCCCAGAACAGGAGCAAAGAGTAATCCCAGCTGTGGTATTAAATGGGAAAGCTACCATTACCTCTTGCTGACCTGTTCCCATATTTGCAACAGGACTACAAATCAGAACACTGAGGTGTAACTGCCCGGGTCTTCTAGACAGTACTATCTACAGGTGACCAAAAGGTTTGGAAAAAAACACCTCAAGAGAAGTTTGAACACAATTAAAACATCATCCACTCTCTGTCCTTGCAGGCAGTTCACTGCCTCCAGCCAACTCATTGCCAGTGCTGCAACAAATTCCACTCATCCTCTCTAGTCCCGGAGGAAATTCCCTTTGTCACTGGTACCCTTCAAAGCCTCTATTCAACCTCCAAGCTCCCTGCTATCCTTCTCTTAACCTAGGGCTTCTGGAACCACTCTGTGCGTGTGCTTTGTCAAGAACAAAATATATACTGTTCACAAAGTTCATGAAGCACCTTCCCCCCAACTTTTTAAGGAAATTTTGCCTACTGCTTTAATCCGATGCCCTCCCACCAGAATCTCCTTCCCCCACCAGACAACAAGAGCTACTATTATTTGCTTACCTATATTCTAAGGTGGAACACACACAGATTATCTATCTGTGCTCAGAAACATGCTGGAATTATGTTTAGACCTGCAAACTTGGCTTACAGGATTGAGATGGACAGGGAGGTCTACCACTTGATTGCTACAAGTTTTAGCCTGAAGCTAAAGCATTATATTTGCATTACATGTGCCTCAAGAGTACAAAAGTAGCAATGCATTTTATTTTACTTTTTGCCTTAAGCTAAGTGAATTGAATCCCAAAACACTGAAACAGTACCCACTTAATATAAGAATATATTGCGCTTATCTGATGAAATATTCCTATGGTCCTTCTGTAAGTGAAAGTAGACAGAGGAACCTCTACTGTGCTCTCTTCAGTAAGTGAGAGCAACTTGATTGGCAGAAAACATCATCAAATTACTTTTTCATTTCTATTTAAGAGATTTTTATCTAGGTTTTTCCCACAGCAAGTCTTTGCTAAGCGCTGTTAAGTGCTCTGAATGACATTTATAAAGCAAGGCTGGCCAGGAGACAAGAACCCAATTGTGTGACAAAGTGAAGCGCTCAGACATTTGTCTTCCTTCTACATTAGAAAGGAAGAAATGCCTTTCAGAGCATAAATAAAAAGCAGCAAAGCACTTATCCAGGAGAATAGAGTTCAAGTCCCGTTCCAAATCAAGTCAACTTCAATGTTAGCATCCCATATGGATGGCAAATGCTCTACACATTGAGCAACTAGCGACTCAAAGAGTTCTCTGAAGGGCAAGAAATTCCCCACTGAAGCTAACAAATCTTCACTGAAATATGCCACAACTATATCCTTTGAGAAACTCTTCCAACAAGCAAACATTGCTCAGTAAGAGTCAAGAGGTAAGGCACACACAAAACCCTTCCTAAATTCAATCCATCTCCCTTCATCGTATTCAAAGACCACGATAATGTTCAGTTCTGAAGGTCATCAAATTTGAGCTTTGGAAAAAATGACTCAATTCTGAAGCTAAAAGTGATTCAAAAAGAAATCACTGCCCAGCTTGCGCTATAGGATAATCATGATC